CGAACACCTCAACGATGATGGTCATCATTCTCGCCAGTCCTGCTGCAGACCTTGATACGACGCCGGCATCATCGGCATACAAGTCCATCCCCCATACTGCCCTCCGTACTCGGTCAAGGGGTGTCTCCTTTCCCCCCCCCGCTTCCGTCTTCCCCTCCTCCAAGCACACCAGGCTCCGCAGAAAAACATCATCCTCGCTGAATCGGATAACAACGACCTCGAGGACCTCGGCGAAGAAGATGTTGAACAGCAGTGGGGATAGCACACATCCTTGTCGCACGCCCTGTGTCACGAAGAACCAGTCCGATAGTTCTCCGTCGTCCATGCGCACCCGGGCCCGCATTCCATCGTGGAATTGGCGAATGACTTCGATCAGCTTCGCGGGAATCCCGGCCCTGGCCAGCACCTTCCATAGCATCTCTCGGTCCACCGAATCATACGCCTTGTTCAAGTCGACGAAGCACATGTAGAGCGGTATTTTCTTTCTCCGCCCCAGCTCCTGGAGGCGGCGCACGACGAACAGCATGTCGACGGTGGATCGCCCGGGTCGAAATCCGCACTGTTCCTCCGGGAGGATGTTGTTGGCTTCGCAGAAGGCGCTTAGACGGTTGGTGATGATCTTGATGGGGACCTTGCCTACGTGAGATAGTAGCGAAATCCCCCTGTAGTTGTTACAGTTGGACCGGTCACCCTTCTTGTACAGCACCTTGATGGTTGCATCCTTCTACTCTCGCGGAATATCTCTTCCGTTCCACACCTTGACGAGGATGGTATGGAGGTGTCCCAGGACGAAGGGTTCGTCGTCATCGATCTTGAGCAACTCGGCAGGGAGGGAGTCATGGCCGGGTGCCTTCCAGTTCTTGAGGCCTTTCGTTGCCCGTGCCACCTCCTCGAGTTCTGGCACATCTCCCAACCGTTGAGTGTCACGTGTCGCTGGCCGCTGCGTCACTCGTTCGATGGTGTCTGGGTTCAGGGTGGGGGATTTGGTGTTGAGTAGGGTGCTGAAGAATCTCGCCCACCGCTGGAGGATGTCGTCCCTGTTCCGGAGCAACACGCCGTTCTCATCCGCGACGAACTGCTGTCCGCCCGCTTGTCTCCCACTGAGGAACACTGATCTCTTGAGGTCTTGGTACAGTCCTCGCATGTCGCGATCTTTGTAGATTTCTTCGAGCTCACTCACATATCCGTCCAGGTGGGCTTAAATGCCCGTTTCGACTGCTGTAGCCACTCCCTTACACGCTGCTTTGAGAACCCTCCACGTCGCTGAGTTCCAGTTGCCCCTCATCGCCCGGCGCGCTTCCCGACGTTTGGTAAGGGCCTGCTCCAGCGCTGCTCGTGTCTCTGGGGTCCCACACCACTCCTGCGTGCGGCGTCTCCGCGGTTCCTCCCCCAGGGTCGTCCGCGCTGCGTCGAGGAGAGCATTGGTAAAGTCGGGCGCCGATTCCGCGGCGGTGGTTGTTCGCTCGTCCAGTCGTGTGTCGAGGTTGAGGAGGAACCGATTAGTCACCGCACACCGTGCTGCTTCGAACTGCAATTCCCGTCGGTTGAATTGCTACTGTTTCGGTTTAGTCCGGACTGCACGGTTGTGGGCAAGCCTGCCACCGAGGTTGACGGTGGCTACTACCATATTGTGGTCTGAGTCTGCTTTGACTGGGCGAACCGGCTGGGCGATGACGACCACGTTAGATACTCGGCCGTGATGTGCCTGCCTTGTCAGGATGTAGTCAAGGCGCTTGCAATCGTTTCGCGACACACCGTTGTAGGTGTGCCATATTCCGCCCTTACGTGTCTCAAAGAACGTGTTCGTGAGAGCTAGCCTGTTTTCCGTTGCAAAGTTCAACAGTAGCATGCCATTGTCGTTGAGCTTATCACGCCCGTACATTCCTATTACCCTTCCGTCCTCTCCGTCCAACCTATCTCCCGTCCGCGCGTTGGCGTCCAGTAGGACATACACACATTCTTTGGAAGGGATCCTCCGCACGAAACTGTCAAGTTTTCCCCAGAACACGCGCTTGCTGTCGGCGGTTGAAGGTTCGGTTGGAGCATACGCGGCTACGAAGTTGACCGCCCCACGGTGGCCTGCCAACAGAAACCTCATGGCCAAAAGGGCGTTCGTCGATAAACTCCGTAGTGAACGTGGATGTCTGGCACAGTGACTCTTTGACGGCTATCCCCACACCATGGACTCCACCAGTCTCCGTGCCACAGCCGAACACCCGGAAACCCGCTGCTGCAAATTCCGTTCGACCTGCCATCCGTGTCTCCTGCATTCCTACCACCGATACGTCTTGTCTCCCTGCCTCGTGTAGAACGCTGTAAGCTCGCCCGTATCCATTGGCCCCGTTTACAGCCAAAGTCCGCACATTCCAGGTTGCTACCCCTAGAAGTTGACCCTGCTGTCTCTTTCGCGCGGCGCGCGCTACTCTCTCAGCTAGCCTACCCGCCGCCCGACCCCTCCTTTTCCTCCATCTTCCCCTCTTTTTACTATTTTCTTGCGAACACTCGGGCGAACGTGATCGTTACCCCGGTTCTTGCCTTGTTTCTCATAGAGTTGTCTTCTTGTCTCGGAGCGGTGTGGCCCTCCATCTCTGGACTCTCTCCTTTCCCCTCTCTGGGGCATACCCCCACGGCGTGCGGCCACTCCGCCACCCTCACCGTGCTCTCTGCTGCTGCATAGCCCCGGTGTCCAAGCCGGGGCGTCAGGATCCAGTCTCATTTTGCAGCTACCAAAGCTGGCGGCTCAGTAGCTACCCCGATCTCACGACAGCAGTAACTCCCAACCGCCGAACTCAGGATCCCCCTCTAAACAGTGCTAGGGACCGCATATCCGTCGTTGCTGGGTGGTCTTTCGAGGTCTAGATCCACTTGCGGAACCTCGGCCTACCCCAGGGACGGGGGGGGCAGGCCGGGGAGGCGGTGGTCATGGGAAAACCCTATATATTCAAGTGAAAAAATAGACCAGAAAAAGCGTTGTGTCCACGACTTTGTGCGCATAACGATGTGGCTCTCTGCCGACTGAGCACGGCCACTGCCAACCCACGCGTCACCGGATGAGAGTCGTTGATGGACAAGACACCCAAGAAGGCAAAACATGAATCGATGGTCTAACGGGCGAGAGCTGGATAGTTTTGTACTCTCGTGTCCTCTCAAGCGACCGACTTTTTGCCGTTGGGAAGCGCTGACGCACGTTTTGGTCCCTTTCGACACCGAAAACATTGTTTCTCGCACGCCCGGGGCGCTATTGCCCCATATTGGCGGGCACAGCATCAGCTCAGTGCATCAAGGGTTATCGGGTGCCCTTTGCGAGCTCATTACATTCAGTTTCTATGACGTATTTTTGGTTTGACTGTCACAAATCGTTTGGTAGCAGTAGACCACGATTCCCGCCGCACTTCTCATGCATTCCGAGAAAGTCAAAAGATAATATATTTTTGCGCATTAAAGCCACGTTCGAATGTTCGTCTGGCGGATGTTCGCGCGCAAATGTTTGACAACATTTGAAGACTAATTTCCAAGATTTTGAGACCACAAACATGGGTCTCAGGCCTAACACGTCCAGGAAACTCAAGGCTCCCTAAGGATCACAATGGATGGCAACAGCAGCTATGACATGGCAGCAACAGCAACGCCAGAAAAACGACAACATATGACGACGCCAAAGCAACCCACCTGCGCTTCCGCTTCGACCTTGGCTGCCCCCAACCGATACACCTCCTGCCTCATGCCTCCCTCCGGCGTTATTCTCTGCTGCTGCCTGAAACGCTCCAGATCTGGTCTGTGGCAGCTACCCTAGCAGTGGCATCTTCCAAAGACTTGGCGTGGCTGGCAGCTCGCTTCTCCAAGGCTTTCACCTTCATTCGCTCTAGGTCCACCTGGCACAGCAGCACGGTTCAGGACCAAAAAGACAAAGACATAGAAAGGTTGGTGTGACGAGTCCCTCTACAAGAATCACACCGCCGCCCAGGTATTGGGGACGCCGACACTTGATCGCCTGTTTCGGCTGTGGCTGCCACGGCACGGTGGCAAAAGTCTCAAGAAGTGAAACAGGGATCAGGGTGCTACCGTCTCGAAGGAAATTGAAGGTGAGGTTAGCTGCATGTGTTCGTCCTAGTACGCATATAAATCGTCTCATGTGATCTTGGTATTACCCTGTCGAAGACAAAGGGATGATGGACGTTACCGCCATTCTTGTTCGCGTCGCAGAAGTGACACGTGCAATATATAGGAAGGCAATGGCTTGGATGTAGTTGTTGGTAAAGGTAGTTATCGTGATGGTGGTCGTGGAGGTCATGGGCCTGCCCTTGGCAAGAGCAGTGGCCAAAATCGTGTACACCCGGTCCAACCACGGCCATAATCGGGTACCCCTACAAAGACGATGCTGGGAGCGACCGCCTGACACCATCTGACTGCCCGACGCCCGCCTCTACCCGACCTTGACCGTCTTTCCACCCGGTTCACCCGATCTTGGCCACTCACTCCCGGGAGGGGTACCCGGTTTGTCTTTCGACCAAACCCATACACACATTCACGGGTCGGACGCAAACCGCTGGCCGCTCGTACTTCGCCAATGAGAAAGCGGCCGAAGCAGGGAACATGTCTATCTTTTAAATGCGTCTCGTGCGTGTCGCGTATCGTGAGCGAGGTATTCATCCAACTCTTCTTGATCATATGCACCGAGCGCCTGCTGTCTCCCCCAAGCGAGAGTTCCACAGCCGGCGGTGGGTCCGCCTCCGCCCGCCGTCGGAACATCCGCATTCGAGGGCAGGGGGCAGGGCATTGCTGACGCGAGTTTGTGTGCACGGGGCTTGGTCGAAAAGCCCAGATATTTTCGGGCAGAAGAAAGGCAAACCGGGTACCCCTCCCGGGGGTGAGAAGCCAAGATCGGGTGCACCCCGGTGGAAAGACGGTCAAGGTCGGGTAGGGGCGGGCGTCGGCGAATCAGATGATGTCAGGCGGTCGCTCCCAGCAGCGTCTTGAAGGGTTACCCGATTATGGCCGTGGTTGGACCGGGTGTACCCGATTTTGGCCTTTGCTCCCTTCGCAATAGAGATCAACTCTGACCACCACCTCACTCTGCTCCCTTCGCAATATGGATTCAATCTGACCACCACCTCACTCGTACCGTAAACGAAGCCTGGTACAGCAGCATCCTCCCCGACCAACATGTCCTCATCCACACGCTCGCTTCAACCCTCAAACGCTCCACCACCATAGCAGTAACACACACCGTGATAGCATCAATCCGTGAGAGGCATGCGGGGGTACCTGGTGTTTGGTCTCCTCCCTCAGTCGTCTCTGCAGCAGCTGCAACTCCGACAGTTTTTTCAGCGTGGTCGGTCTTCCAAGACTCCTCTCGAGCCTTGAGCTGCAGTTCCCTCGCCTCTACTTCGGACAGCGCCTTCCGAAGCTTGCCCTCCAGCTGGGCGGCAAGCAGGTTGCGGGGGAGGGGGGGGGAGAGAGCCATTTCAAAAAAAGATTCAACAACAGCAGTTTTGAAGCTGGTGTAGAAGCCACCAAGTGCAGGGTTGTGCACCCACCCCCAGGGAAGTTGAGCTGGGTATAGAACGTCGTGTGACAGTAGAGGTTTACCCTCTGATGTTCATGAATGTTGTTTAGCCAATCTTCATGTACCATCCGTCGGACAGTGAGCCGAAGTCTTCGGGCCGCCATCTAGAAGGCGAGATATGGCTCGCAACAAGCATCAAACGAAAGGCTTCGCAACGGTTCGTTGCTTCAAAACTTCTGGCAACGCCTTGCGCGGTTGCAACAATATCGTGCCTTATGTTCACTCAATCTCACGTATGATGTCATCCATCGTCAACACGTGCCGACAGTCACAATCGAGACTTCGCAATACAAGCAGCCGACCATAGCAATCTTGTCAAAGCCTAACGTGCAGCCGTACGTTCTTCCGAACTGCTGCCGCATCGGCTGCATCGTCACCGTGCACGTTGTACCGGTCTAAATGTATTGAGGTCAACACCAGCAACACCGGCTATAAAGGGTACCTTCGAGTAATCGGCTTGTGCGTGGCGCAGCTCTCGTCGTCTGGTCGCCTCTCTCGCCTCCCACTTCTGCTCGAGAGCTTCTTCCTGGACAGATAGACGCAACAATGCATCAAGCGCACAAACGGTGGCCAGACAGGAAGTGAAGGTTTACAGCAAAAGAACAGAGGCCGACGATTCGAAATACGTTCATGGCCCATCTTTTCGAGCCCCCGTTGACCCACTACGCACCATCAATCAAAACTTAATCCCCATTCTTCTACGCCCATGCAACGCCTTTAGAATACATCGCGCACCTTGCAAAAACGTTGGCAACAATCATAAAACGCTTGAGCATACGAAACGGCTGTTACCGATGAGCGAACATGCCACAATAATTACCCGTACCCTTTTCATTTTCTATTTTCCCTCACGTCAACCGTTTCGACTCCCAAGAAACGACCAATCACACGCACACATGCCAAGTAAGTCAAAACACATCTTCCAACACACACCACACGAGCGCCGTCAGATCCATTACGGCTGGATATTCGAAGGTCCACATCTTGCCAGCAACCTTACAAGGTTCCACAACACACGCGTGGCTACGTTTTGCGTACCACCTCTGCCGTGTCTATCGTATTACCGCACCTTTTCCCGCAGGCGTTTGGCGAACTTGATTTCCTCGACGACTCTCAATCGTTCCCACTCCACTCGTGCACGTTCGATATATCCCTCCGCCTCGGCCCTCGCTGCCTTCGCCTCTGCCACTACTGCCCCTGCCTGTGGTATTCCTGCCCCTGCAACTGTCGCCATCCCTGTTCCTGCCGACCTCGCCTCTGGTGACTGCGCAGTTGCCGGTACTAACGGCATCGGTGGTGCTGATGATAGCCGCATGGGGTCGATGGTCTGGCCTAAGCCTGGAAGGTTCGACTACAGGAGGGGGGTAATGGGTAGGACGTCATGCAGCGAGGCAACAGATCAGCGTGGCGTCATATCCAGTCACGTCGACCATTTTCCCTATTTCTTTCTATTGATGGCTGATGGGCGTTTTCTACTGGTGTCGCCGTGGGTGTCCATCCCTTGACAAGAGTGTCAAGATGCAAAAGGGTGTCAGGGACGGAAATTTGGAGCCGGCTTTCGGGGGTCCCACACCGAGGAACCCAACNTTGGATCAGGGTGGAGGGGGGGCTCATATGATACGGCACACGGTAGTGACTCCTCCCCTCTTTTACGAAGCCATGCGGCGGCCCTGACCTGATCATCGGGGTCACCGATAGGCCCCATGTCTTCCAGGAGGAGGATCACACGAAGGGAGCACAGCCGTGATGGCAGGGCAGACGGCGGCGCCGATGTCGCCACTTGGTCGTTATTATCGCGCTCGTTGTTGACGCTCGCCACAGACAGGTATCGGTCCAAGACCTTGACCTCCACAGGGGATGATCCAGAGGCATCCCCGGGTGTGGTGACGCCCGCCCATTGCAGGGACTTGAGGTGCGCTTTGAAGCCAGCCATGGACGTGAACGTCTGCCGTATTCCGGAGCAGCAAAATGGCAACAGTATCACGGAGTTACGAGAGTCGAGCGTTGTGATTATCGCAGTAGCAGCAACACCACTAGCAACACCACTAGCAGCCACAGCAGCGGAAGCGGAAGCAACGGCAGGAGGGAACCCGAGGGACCAAGTATCCGACGAGCGCTGACCAGTACCACTGCGAAAAAGGAGTCTTGCAGCGGGTGTTGCCAACAGAGAACACCGACACCATGACAGGTTGAAGAGCTCATTCGAGAATTGCCATGGGCGCCATCATACTGTACGGTAGGTGAGTACCAGCATCATCATTATATCGGCGACAACCAGGATTGGTGCGATAGGTGTTGTATCGAAAACGCCGAATGGCAACGGCAGAAAAACAGGACAGACTGCATCAATTATGCAAGGGTCGAAAACGTTTTATCACCGTGGGAGTTTTCTTGTGTGAAGTTCGGTACTACAGTGCGTTGGGGGTGGGGGTGGTGCGTTGAAACTGGTACGGAATGGTGCGTTGGAACAGGAACGGTACACAGCCGTTATCTCAAATGTCCGGTTGGCCGGCAACCCGTGGTACCGGCGCTTATTCACGCTTTCGTCTCGACGGAAGGACAGACAGACAAACGAAAGGACAGACAGACAGACAGGCTCACCAGACTTCTGTCCTGCACGGTAGCAGCGAGTCGGTCGAAGCTCACCCCGAAGGAGAATGTGCACCACGAGTTCGAGAGAGGCGTGTCTATCTGGGGAGCCGCCCACACCAGAGAAGTCCGCACCGGAGCCGAAGTCCCGAAGCAGGGGTAGTGGTAGCAGGCCACCTGCAAGGTGCACATAGGGCAACACAACACCCCAAAACTCAAAAGACGGGTCGTGATTGTCGCGTAGATAATGGAGCTAGTAGGGAGGGTACGGTTAGCACGCGGGCCGCGTAGCGAAAAGCAGTGCCACCTATAAAGATGGGGTACATCTCGACGACTGGAGAAATTCGTCAAGCGGTTTTCAGGTGGCCCGCAAGGCATGCGGCGCTTGCTACATATGTTTTTGGGTGATCGTCAGCCCGTCGAAGTTCGAACGTCGTTCAAACCCTTCCCAAAGCCCAAGGAGATAAAACACAAACACAATCGCTTTGTGGAGATGAACATAAACTTACCAAGTAAGCCGCGCTCTCGAAGTCCTTGACCGATGCCAGGTTGATGGACATCCGATAACTGCGCGGCACCGTGGCCCCCGCCACTACCCCACTCCCGACCACTGGCGGCTCCTCCGCCTGCACCCCCGTTGTCCTAACCGCGGCACCCCCCCGAACCCCTGACCTGTCCCCCCTTGCCCCCTCAAGGCCGAAGCTTCTTTCTCTTTCCTCCTCTTACTCGTCTTCCAACTGCTCGCTCTCCTGTTTGAAAGCCGCACCGGCTTCGCCTCCCTCCCCGGCCGGGCCGTTGCTGCCGTCGCCGTCGCCTGTTTCGGCCAAGGACAAGCAGACGCGGTACGAGCCCACCTCGTTCCCTTCGAGGGACACGAGCTTCACGTTGACGTGCTGCCGACTGCCGCAGGCCGAGGAGGGCCACGGCACCACGCCCGTCGCGATCGTGACGTCACCGTATCGGGCTCCAGAGCCGATGAGCACCCGGACGGTAGCAAGGACCCCGCCAACCCCCCCCTTCCTCCCAGGGTTCGGCGGCTCCCTTTCCCACTCCCAGGTGATGGTCTCCAGGAAGTCGCTGTCTTCAGTGTCTCCCCCCCCCCCGCTCGCCGCAGCCAACCACTCGGAAGCCTTCCCGGAGGGAGGCGGAAGGGTTAGCGTTAGCCACTCCCGCGATTGCATCGGTTGCCGTGGCCGCACCGCCGGCCTTTCCAGACATAAACAGCTCTCCCGTGGCGTCGGTGATTCCCACTAGAACACCGCCGCCGCCATTGACGCGGTTGCTCAGCGCCGAACCGTCTCTGCTGCCTGGGTGATCAACCGGCCTGAGCTCTGGCCGCTGCAGCGCCGCCGTGATTGCTACAGCCCGCCCAACTCTCCTCCCAGCCACCGCAAGGCGGGACCATGTCCTCACGCCGCTCGCGCTGGCTGAGCCCTCGGTCCTGCCCGTGGCCACCGCTGCTGCCGCCGTCGCCGCCCACAGCCCGTCGGCATCGGAGCTCCCAACAGGCCCATCGCCGGGTCCAGGTTCGGAATCAGCCCTCGTCAGCTCGGCGCAGATGGAGGCAACCGGGGGGCTCTGTGACTCTTCCTCCCCCCCCTCGCCGTCTTCCTTGTCTCGCTGCTGCGGGGCCGCCAGGGGCTCGCCGGGGAGATGGAGTTGGAAGTATCCCTCTATCCCGGTGCTGCCGAACTCGCACGTGCCGCGGCCTTGCCATTGCTCTCTCGGTAGCAGCAGAGACATGTC